AACAGACTGTGATTCAAGCTCTGGGAGCAAACTTCACAATATAAGAAAAAAAGAGAGCTTAAAATCTTAAATGCACCCCCACATTTAAAGATACTAATACTTCAGAAATATTCAGTGTGGTTATTTGAGGAATGTGATATAACATTACTTTGAGTAAGAAAGATTCCACAGAGAAATGTATATGAAATAAATTTGTTATCATTTTAAATTTAGGGGCAGAATTCAAAACTGTATAGATAGTATGAGTTTGTTAATTTTTAAATGCCTAGAAAATAAGACTACAAAGACCAAACGGTGGTATTCTGAATCATCTAAATTTTCTGGAATATGTATATATTAATTTGGTTATTGGGAAAAAGTAAGCTTAATTTGTTATTAACATTGGCTGAAAGAAATTAGAACAAAAGTATAGAAACTAAATTACCAACATTACAAGAATGAGCATTGCTTTTGACACCTACCAACTCATTTACCCATCAGCAGAAATGAGGAAAGGTGAATGAGCACAGGTGGGAACTGGATATACAGATTAGAACAATCTAAATTTTGATTTGAACAGGAAGTGAGAGAATAATATTTACTGGGATGCTTTTCCACTCATTATTATAGCTTTGGTTTTGATGGGTATTAGGTTTGGGGCAATATTTAAGGAAATAAACAAGGGAAAAAATGACAGATACAGTGTAACCTTAAAACACACACACACACACACACACAAAACAATCTTTCTAAATCACTGGCAACAAAAGAAAGATAATACATTTAACATTTTGTTGTTTGTCTTCATGTTATTAATTACTATTAATTAATATTATCCTTGTGCATTTTGCAGTATTTTGTAACTTTCCTTTTTCACTCAGTGCTATATTGTGAAGTTTTCTGTGTCAATCCTCATTCCACTGAGGATTTCAGTGGCTAAATGGTCCTTCATTTCATTAGATGGTCTGTAACGTCATCAATCACTTGACATGGCATTTTAGGATAGTTTTCAATATTTGTTCTTGGAAAAATATTGTACATACGCCTTTGGCTATATCTCTGACAATTTGTGAAGATCATGGAACAGAATCCTTCCTTATTATTGTTGGCTAATTGGAAGCAAGGGCCTTACCTGCCTTTCTGGAGGGTGGACGCTCACAGGGTTCCCAAGGCAATGGAGACAAGCCTGGCCCAGGCTGTGCATGCCCTTGTCAAGTCTGCTGTCACGGTGCAGCCCCCTTTCAAGGGTCAAAACGTATTTCATCTCCCAAACTAAATTTCCTTCACAGCATCTTGGAAGTCCTGAAGAACACTTATCTCAAACTGGGAATACTTGTCATAAAAAGAGAAACATACACTTTCTCCTTGAGTCAATTTAATGCAGGAATAGGTGGAAGAATTTCTAAATTAAGGTCAATGCAAATGTATTATGCAATAGCAGACAAGTTCACATCCACTTCTAAGATGAAATACGTGATAAAAGAACTTCTTAGCTTGCAACGGTGGCTTCTGAACTGCCCCCACTTTAAGTGACACACACACCCACTCCACTCCCCCTGAGACCTCACTGTGTCACCTGTGCCTCATGAACCAAAGCAATGGGAGAAAACTTTATAGGAACATGTCTTAGGGAAGTGTAAGACTTTGGGCTGACTCCGTGAGGAAGGATGTACTGAAAGGATGAAGCACCACTCAGAAAGCCACAGGCGAATCTGCGCACCCCATTCTGTATGCCCCTCTTTATTCATGCTGGCAATGTTTCTTCTTCATCTTCTCCCTACATGCACCCCATTTTAGGGGGTTGGGGAGAGCTGGTCTTGTATATATGAGGCAAAGGAACAAAGGTTTAAAGTTGATGAGGAAGAGAATTACCTAACCATTACTTCAGTTTTGACCAAGTACATTTTACTGCTGCCTTGACTCACGAGCCAACATGCAACTCCGCCACTGAGCTTAGAAAAGTGCTTGAAAACTGGCAAATGTTAAAATCATATTTTGTTCAAAAACTGGGAAATGTTAAAATCATATTTTGTTCAAAAACAATTAAATTTGATTTTAATTTTAAAAAACCACAAGCAGGCTTAATGATCTTGATCTAACACGTCAAATTCTTCATGATAAAAGCATTTTCTGTGAAAATAGAATTCAGTGTGATAGTTTTATAATAAACAACTAATTATGTAAAATGTTTGAACATTTTTTTAAAAAGGTTGATGTCTCATCTCTTATATTTGGCTACTCCATTTCAGTTAGAGATGATTAGAAATGAACAAAGGGTTAAAAAAATCATCCTTAATATGAACTCTTTAATTTTTAGGAGCATTATTTTGACATAGTCTGTCACTAGTTACTGAAGGATGATTTCCTTTGTTTTATGAAACATAAACTTATACACTGTACTTTCACGCAGGCAAAGCCAGGGCAGTTGCATGTTTATAGAAGGCAGGCAAAGATGGAGTGCTAATTCTCAAGGGCCATATTTATCAAAGAAAATGTGGCCAGGCAGACTGATTTTGTAATATAGAATTTAATTACAAGAAGATATTGAATTAAAATTTAAAAAATTAAAATTAAAATCAAAAATTTTAATTTATGAAAAATTAAAACCATAAAATAAACCACAGAAGCATAAAATCATACCATAAAAATCACATCAAGGAGCTCGAGAGGGCCAGAGAGGCAAGCCAGAATCTAGAGGCAGATGGTCCTTTCGCTGGATCAGCAGAGGGTTTTTATTCCCCCCTCAAACCACAACCACAGTTGTTGACACCAAATGCCAGTGGCGGCTCCTCTTTCACCCCCATCTGTCTCTCCACACCCAGAATAGAGAGCTGAACACCAGAGGCTCAGAGCTGCTATGTTCAAGGACAATGTGTGACCGCTGGAGCCTGTGGCAATGAGGCGGGGCCCCCGCAGTAGGCCGGCCTCAGGGACGCATGGTGAGGGAAAGCCAGTCCACGGTTCCTGTGCACTGGTTCCTTCCAGAATTGTCTGGGGGCTAACTGGGCTGGACAGTCTTTCCGGGAGTGCCAGAGCCAGTCTGAGCTCTAAGGAGGTATCATTGGTTTGAATTTTGTCCCCCCAAACAGGTAAGTTGGGGTCCCAAACCCTCATTCCTCAGAATGTGACCTTAATTGGAAAGAGAGTCTCTACAGAGGTCATCAAGTTAAAGCAAGGTCATTAGATGGGCCCTAAACCTATGACTGGTGTCCTTACACTGAAGGGGCCTGGGGACACGGAGGGAAGACAGGGTGGGGACACAGGGGAGGAGAGAGCCACGGGCCTAGAGGGGGCTTCTGTGAGCCCAGAAGAACCAGAAGCTGGAAGAGGCAAGGGGTGCTTCTCCCATGAGCCAGTGGAGGGAGGAAGTGTGGACTTCCAGCCTCCAGAAATATGAGAGAATAAATTTCTGCAACCCTGGGAAAAAGATCCAGGTAGGGAAAGAGCAGAGATTATAAATTACCCTATGCCCTTTATTCATGAAATGGTACCTAAGACACAGCACAGCGTTCTCATCAACAGCCCCCCCGCCTGCTTAACTCACCCACAGACTGTAACTGTCTGCTGTTCACAGCTTTCAGAATCACCTGACTCACTCTGGCTCCCGCGGGCTCTGCCTCTCGTCCTCTTCTCCTCTGTTCACTGGTTCTTCACTTTGTTTCCATCCACTTGGCTTATGCTTCCGGTAGAAGCAGGATATTATATGCCCCACGTTCCTTTTGTTAAAAATCTACACCCATCCTATCATTTTATAACAACACCCCAAGTTCCCCTTCCAACCTTCACACAACTGTGCACAGGATAACTCCCTCCCCCCTAAAAAAAAACCCCTGATTGACCCCACGTGTAGAACTGGTCAAAGCAGCTTTTTGTAAGTAATTATTCCTTTTTCTTCTGCTGCTCCTCATTCACTGCTCCCTTCCATTCTGGCAGTGAAATGTGCAATTGAACTTTCACAAAAATCAGCGAGCACCCAAAGCTGCAGATGCTGGCGCCATGTGGAGAGAAGGGATCACTTCTACACTGCTGGTGGGACTGCAAACTAGTACAGCCTCTTTGGAAAGAAGTATAGAGAATCCTCAATGATCTCAAAACAAACCTTCCATTTGATCCTGCAATCTCATTACTTGGCATCTATTCAGAAGAAAAAAAATCTTTTTAGCATAAGGACATATGCACTGATTGTTTATCACAGCTCAATTCACGATTGCTAAAATGTGGAAACAACCTAAATGCTCCAAAACTCAGGAATGGATTAACAAGCTGTGGTATACATATACCATGGGATACTATTCAGCTATAAAAAGATGGATCAAGATGGAACACATTCTACTTAGTAAAATATCATAAGAATGGAAAAGCAAGTATCCAACGTACTCAATTCTAACATGAAGCCAGCAGATGATCTAATGTACACCCTTATAAGGGAAAAACTCAACTCAATTCAAGTTGGGGGATGGGGGAGACAATAGGAGGAGATGGGTGTGTTCCCACTTAATGGGCACAATGTAAGGGTATATGGCACAGCTTTTGGATGTGGACACAACTACAAGAGGGACTCAACATATGCAAACACTGTAACCTGGTTGTTGGTACCTTCACATTAATCTGAAAACAAACAAAAAAGCAGACAGGACAGCAGTGGTCTGAAGACTTAGCATGCAGAGGGCAGGAACTGCCATTTGTCTATTCATAGCCCTGTTCTTAGGGCTTGGCACACAGTCGGTGCTCAATAAATAATGAGCGAAAGCTATCACAATTGTTTCATGCCAGTGTTGTGTTGCATATTGCTATAAAAAGACTGCATCCACCCCCAGAGTACAATATGAAGAATGTTTTCCAGTTATTACTCCTCAGTTTTCTATCAATTAACCCCAAGAAGCCATAAACCAAGTTGTATTTTGACCCTGTAGAGAGAAATAAGGTGGACGCTTGGTCTCAGCTTGCCTGCAATGTCAGGTGACTTTGTCCCATGGTGCTCTTGTATTTTCCAGTAAGACCATGCATGAGAAGAGAGGAAGAACTTTCTACATTTAGTGACATTTATTTATGCATTCAGTATCAAGTACATAAGTGCAAATATCCAGAGTCCATAATTGAGTCCATTAGGAACTACAGAGAAACTAATACAAATTGTAATAAAGTTAACATGCTGGTACTTTTTAGTTACCACACATGTAAATCAGCCCACCATTCCCATACAACAAAAGTACTGCATGTCTATTTGGGGTTTATTTGTTTATTTAATTATTTTAAGTTATACAAAACTGATTACCATAAGTACAGTCGACTGTTTTTATTTTTACGTTGTGTGTGTTGGAAAAATGCTAAAACATCAGTCTACAATTCTACATATTGTTATTAAAGATTAATACAACCAGCAACCCAAGGACATATAAGCAAGTTCCACTACTGCGTCAGTGCACTCGGCGGGAAAGGCCTAGCCACGGGGAGCATTAGAAGCTACAGAAGCATTGCAGAGGAGGACACCAGGGGAGGAGAGGTAACGTGGGCTCTCACCATCATGCACTTTTTGTAGCGACACAAAATTAAAAACCACATTTAATACACTTTTCTCTATACTTTAGTGCTTGACACAAGTGACTCAAATATCCTAAGAGTACAGGAACAGCCTAAAAACAGCTGTTTGAAAATTTGTCTCTAAGATTATGGGGGTGGGGGGACAATCAATTTGCAGTAACGAGTAGGAAGAGCTGTTACCACTCAAGACATTCCTGTTTGTTTCCAGTCCCTGGTGGGACATCCGTCTACTCAGCGTGCCTTTTAGCTCCTGGGATTTTAGCCTGAATCCTAAAAAGACAACATCAAAAGGTGGTAATTCACAAGTGTTACTAATGCAACAATTTCATGCATTCACTATGTGTTGTTGCTTTAATTAGCTAAGTGATCACACAGCTTAATACTCTAGGAGCTATTACAGGTTTTACATATGTGTGTCTATAAACATTCTTCTATATAAAGTAATAACAGGGAAGTGAAAATTGGGTAATAACTAAAAAAAAAAAAAAAACAAAAAAAGAAAACTGGAAGAAAGCCACGTTCTTTAAAATTGTAACTTTTTAGGTAGCTGAACATGTTGACATTTTAGGATTACAGAAGCTGTGATGTAGTTAGGGTGATTGTTTACCACTCAATCTGGGACTTTCCATTCTTGGCGTTATTACCGACCATGCCAGGGACACAAACATAACCAGGCACGGTGCCAGCAAAGGGGCCTGTGTTCACCCCAGACATAGCCACACTACCCAAAACTGGAGTTCAGAATCTTGGTTCCTAGCCCCAGCTGTGCTGCTAATCAGCTGTGGGACACAAGCCCAGATAATGAGCTTTTCTGGTCCTAGGGACTCACCCTTAAAATGTGGGTGTATACTAGGTATCTTCAAGGCCCCTAAAATTCTGTGATTCCCACAGCATGGCAGAATAATATTAAGGTAGGTTAATACTGGAAGGATCGTGTTTGTGGATTTCCAAGCTTTGTGAGCTCATCATGCAGATTTCAACTGAGACCTTCATCTGTGCCAGGCCCTGCTTCACATGCTAGAACTCAGGGGTCAACAAAAGGAAAAAAGTGGCTGCTTTCCCAGAGTTTTCATTCTTTAAGCATTGAGAAGACAGGAATAAACAAGAAGATAAGGTAAGTCCAGACGCTGATAAGTGCCATAAAACAAAACAAAGCAAAGTGGTATGAAGGGGGGGAGGTAGAAGAGGGCAGTGCCTACTGTAAATCTACTGATGTGAGAAACTGATCCCCAGAGGACAGGAAGGCACTGGCAGGCACAGAGCTGCGTGTGAAGCGCTCAGGCGGGAGGCGCAAATGCACAGGCCTAAAATGAGCCCAAGCTCAGGCAGGAAGAGTAGAGGCTGGTGTACTGTGGGTTGGGGGGGGGGTCTGAGAGGCAGGCCCAGGTCAGGTGGCGCTGGGACTTGTGAGGAGTGTAGTAATGTTCTGTGTGCTGGGAAGCTGTGGATGGATTTTAGATGTGATCTGATTCTTGTTTTAAGAAGAACACATGGTGGCTGTGTGAAAAAAATGGCAGTGGGAGCAATGAATGGAGGGAGGGAAACCCTGGCAGCCCAGTGCCAGGTGGCAAGTGGCCCAGGCAGGGTGGTAGGCATGGAAACAGAGAGAGGCAGACAGCATGGGGATCCAGTTTGGGGATGGGGCTGACCACACCTGATGATGGATTTGATGTGAGAGCAAGGGGCAGAGGAGTGCAGTCAAGGATGATTCTTTAGTTCTTTGCTGTGGGGTCTGTAAGCAGATTAATCCTGCTATTTACCAGGACAGTAAAGACTGAAGGAAAAACAGGTGCTGCAGGAACTGCAAGATGTTTCGCCACGTAAATCTGAAACGTCTAAAGCAGAGGTTCTCAACCTTCCTAATGCCGTGACCCTTTAATACAGTTCCTGTGGGCCGTGACCCACAGGTTGAGAACTGCTGGTCTAGAGACATCTGAGAGAAAATATCAAAGAAGCAGGGGACAGACCTACTTCTCAGCAGAGTGGGTCTGGGCTGGAGACCCGAGGTCAGAGCCCTTGCCACTGAGATGCCTTTGAGACCACAGGACCAGATAAGAGAGAGGAGGGGAGCCACGAGAAGGCCTGTGCAGTGGTGGTCAGCTCACTCCTGCTTAAACACTGGAACAGATGTCCAAGAAATTCACCCTTCCCCATACTTGCAAAGCCAGCTTTAAAAAACCTATCACAAATATAGGACTTTCCCTGCTAATTTCATTTTACTGATTTCAATTCAGCAATCTAGCTGACTCAAGATTCCTCGATTCATTCTGAATCTTCAGCTTGCATCTTCTGAATTGGCTTTTACTCCAAGCTGTGTGTCACCTACAACTCTGTGAAGTCTGTTTGATTTGTCTTCATGTAGTCATGGGAAGTAATGGGGTTAGAAGTAATGGGATGAACAGCTGTAAGGTGTCACGTTACTAAACCTTGTCCCAGACCCAATGGATTAATGAACATCCTTAGGGTCTACTATTCAGCCCACCATGCTGTCATCTGGACCATACATCTCCATTTTTCTCCACAAGGATGCTAGGAAGACTTGTTGCGGACCCCACTGAAATAAGAATACTCACCAGCTAGAGCAGTCCAGTGATCCCTCAGCTGAGTGTACAGACAACTATCTGAGTACCTCCAAGTTTGGCTAATTCATGCTAGGTCCTTGTGTGAAATTAGGTGTTCATCAAACAGTAATTTCTAGAATCTATTCTTTCCTCTCATTTGAAAGTCAGGACAGTTCCTGTCCAATTTCGGTTTGGGGGAGGTACTCATTTTCTGAGACTTATCCAAGGTCACAAGGGAGCTTCTAGGTAAAATCACAGGCTACTTTATTATCTAGAACATAACTCACCTGGACACAGGGAGCTGTATTCACTGAAAGCAGATTTCTTATTATGGTCTCATTTAAAACTGTTGCTCCTTCTACAAAGTCTATTTTGCCTTTTCTAATTTGAAGCCTTCTTTCGTCATTATGAAACTCTAAGAAATCTTAGGAGGGATTATTAGCTCCCATTTTAGAGCTGGGGAACAAAGGTCAACTGACCTGGACAGGGTCATTCTGGGCAGATGAGCATGTGGCACTGGGGTATCCTGGCCCAGTCTGGGACTGTCCCTATATCCATGATGATGATGATGGTGTTGTCTAATATTTACTGAGCATTCCCTATGTCCAAGTAAGAATACTTTACTGATGGTGTGTCATTTAATCACCAACAACCCTATGAGATAAGGTATTAATGTTCCTAATTTATAGATAAGGAAATAAGCTCATAGAGATAAATGACATTTATGATGAGCTCATATAGCTAAAAATGCCAGAAATGGACTCAAATTAGTCAATCGGATTTCAAAGATCATATTCTCAACTGTTCCACTAAAATGATGCAAGTTCTTTTCTAACATGGAATCAGAATTTCAGAGGTTGAAGAAGCGTTAGAGAGAAGATGCCACCACGAAATTTCCTTCACAATGTAGTGCCAGGCAAAATACATTCTTTAGAAGAACTGCTATTTCCTCCTTTCTGACAAGACCCATAGAACATACCAATTTCTCTTTTCGTCTTAGCTACCATGAAGATCCTAGCCAGCTCTGTGTGAAGCTCAGTTATAGAAACCATGTTAGCTCTCATAGTCAACATGTTTCCTTTCTATTCATTTTCACTGCCTTGACCTCCGATTGAAATTTAACAACTACCTTGTATGTTTGTTATATTCTCTGCGTCTCCCTTTCCCCTCCATTTTAACTGGCCTGTGTCCTCATCACTTTGTCGAATTATGACAGCTTCCTAGCCGAGGGCTCCATCTCTCCAGTTTTCTCTGCAGATTGTCATAGTGATCTCCACAAAACAAGATTCTGATTACATCAATCTGCTGCTTGAAAACATCAAGGGCTCGCCATTTCCTGTTGGGTCAGAGCATTCACTACCTACCCACTCTCTCTTTCTACGTTCTTTCTAGGTGATCTTTCCTCTCACTTAGGCTTTAGACACACTGGCTGACTCATTGCTTCCTGAACTTGACTTACATTTTCATGACTCTGTCTCTGCTTACATCATCTCCTCCTCTTGTGATGTCCTTCCCCTCCTCAGCTACCTGATGAATGTTCACCCATGTTTCAAGGACCAGGTCGAATGCCCCTTATCTTAGTGGTTTTTCATTTTGCTCTTGCAGGAAGGAATAACTGTTTCCTCATCTCCCTGATACTTTGGACAACTCTACTGTAGTTATTATACCATCTAATTGTTATTTCCTTACAGCTCTGTGTGCACCAATAGGCTGAGAGCTCTTCTAGAGCCGGTCATTGCATTCATCCTTATCTTCTCTGTGCCGTTGTTTGAGTATCCAGAACACGACAGGTACTCTCTTCTTCTTAAACCCAACCAACCAAACAAACAAACAAAATAAGCAACTCAATAGGTGTGATTTGTCAAGATCCCCACTCTAAGTATTGAACAACTTAGGTCTAGAATGTCTGTTTTCTAGTTTCCAAACTCCTATTATAGTGTTCTTTGCTATGGTACGTGAACGCTGCAGCTGCTAAAAGTCCCCCAGGGAGCTCATTAAAACATAAATTCCAGGTCACAAACCCTAGAAATTCTAATTCTGCAGGTCTGTGTGGAGTCTTGAAATTAGTATTTTTAAACGGCGTCTCCAGGTTTGGGTTCTACCAAGTCTTATCCCATGCTGTGGTGCCATTTCTTAATACAAAAATAATGACTATTGTATCCTGAATTTGTTAATATCTTTAGGTATTGGTTATACTTGGGTACGAGCTAATGATTTTAGGCATTTGATAATGTGGTGTAGATCTGTTACAGATCCAAATTCAATGATTCAATGAGTTCCTAATGGGATTCAATGATTCAATGAGTTCAATGGGATTCAATGAGTTCCTAATGACCTTAAGAAAACAGTGTAGACAGTACAGTGAGAACACATATAAACTTCAGTTCAGAACTGAAGCAGATGATACATGATCTTGTATCAAGGGAACACTAATCTAAATTGGTTGTCCTTTTAAATTTATTTTGTTATTATATATCTTTGACTGTCTAAAATGCCTTCTTGACCATTTAAATCTGACCATCATTTTGTCCAGCCGATAATTCTTAGTGGTGGAGGTTCTGCAGACAAGTCTAGTCCTTTGGTGACATGTGTTTGTAGCTGAAGATTAGGTCAGCTTTTGATTAAAACAAAATCTTGAATAATAGTGAAACTATGAAAACTATTATTGTTGATGATGACATACCCAAAAATATTAACATCAGAATTAGGGAAAACTAATGACCCTGTTAGCTAGGGATATGTAAAAACTGAAGTCATTTATCTCCTAATACAGAAAGTAACCCATAAAGTGGAGTTTGTTTAAGAGTAAGGTTTAAAAAGCAATGGTGTTAATTCAACTTTACACACACTTGTTGGGTTAAAATGGTATTAATTTAAAATATACAGGTAATTTAAAATATTTTTAATGTTTTAAAAAGTTAGTGCTATTTATTATTTAAAAGATTGAAAATGTTAACTTGTTTTTATTTCAACTAGAACTGTTAGTTTTACTTTCATGAACCAGGATTCCTTCTTTCTTCCACCTTATTTTGGACATGGGCCAGTCCTTGGATCGAGCTCAGTGTCATTCATTCATTCATTAAAACTCATTCCTTATGAAATATGAAATAAGCTACTGGGTTTTATTTAATTGAGAGTTTTAAAATTTATACTTCTTTTCTTTTCTTTTTCTTTTTTTGAGACAGAGCCTCAAGCTGGCTGTCCCCCTGGGTAGAGTGCTGTGGCATCACAGCTCACAGCAACCTCCAACTCCTGGGTTTAAGCGATTTTCTTGCCTCAGCCTCCTGAGTAGCTGGGACTACAGGCGCCTGCCACAACACCTGGCTACTTTTTTTTTTTTTTTTGGTGGTAGTTGGCATTGTCGTTTGGCAGGCCAGGGCTGGATTCAAACCTGCCACCTCTGGTGTATGTGGCTGGTGCCTTAGTCGCTTGAGCCCTTATTTTCTAAAATAATAAGATGAATGTTCACCCATGTTTCAAGGACAAGGTCAAATGCCTTGGGGAATGAATATTTGGCTCAAATAAGTGAGTGATGATAAATCAATTTCCTCTTTTCCCTAGGCCACTCAGTGCCTACTTGGGACGGTCTCTCTCCTGTCTGTGAATGGCACTGTGGAACTTACTTTGCCACAACAGCATTTATGTGAGTCCTCACAAGTCCCAGATATTGGTCAATCTGTGCCTACAAAGAGAGAGAAATGATGAGCACCCAAAGGTCGCGAGGTCAAAGTTAACACGAATGTGGTCATCACCCCGCAGTTACCTGGTGCTTGACGTACACTGCAGGTAAAGTGAACATCGAAACCACAGCTGGGATGAGAAACAAATGCAGTAGTAAGATTCTGAGTTACCAAGAAGAGTAAGCATATAGGCACGTTTTTATACATTTATATGACATTATGGCATTATTTAGAATAACCAGCATGCTAGTAAAAGATGACAGGACAGTTCATATGGAAAACAAAAGGATGCTTAGCCCTTTACCATTGTGTCCTTATTCCCAGAATCTTGGCCTCCCAAGATGGAAATGAATCTCTGTGCATAGCTGCCACTGCAGATATGTTAGAACCACACCCACACAGTCCCCCCCACACAACCATCCACAGCCATGGACACACACACACACACACAGAGTCTCGCACACACACAGCCCCCCACACATAACCATACACAGCCACAGACACACACACGCAGACTCCCCCCCCAAACACACAGCCCCCTCCACACAACCATACACAGCCACAGCCACACACACATATACAGAGTCACATACACTCACAGCCTCCCACACAGACACAGCCACACACACTACACACACACAGCCCCCCCCACATAACCATACACAGCCACAGACACACACAGCCTTCTACACAGCATAGCCATAGCCACAGACACACACACACACAGTCACATACACTCACAGCCTCCCACACAGACACAGCCACACACTCACACACACACACAGCCTCCCATACAGCCACAGCCACACACACAGTCACACACACACAGCCCCCACACAGTCACACACACACATACACACACACAGCCCCCCCCACAATCATACACAGCTGCAGACACACACACACACACACACACAGCCTCCCATACAGCCACAGTCACACACACAGTCACACACACACATACACACACACAGCCCCCCCCCACAATCATACACAGCTGCAGACACACACACACAACCTCCCACACAGCCATAGCCACAGATACACACACCCAGAGTCACACACACACAACCACACACACACACACAGTGTGGTTGAGGAAAAAAGTCAGACTTAATAATTCATTATTAGTGAATAATGTGTATGTTAGTCTTTAACTGAGCGGGGAGGTAAAGGAAATGATCTTCGCTCAGGGACCTCTGGTGCCTGTTCCGGGAACTCTATCAACACAGACTGAAAGCTGAGCGTCTGGGGAGCCATGCATGAGGAGGACGAGCAACCCCTCTGTCCTTACCCATGAGCAGCAGGGTCAGGCCGTTGAAGAGAGCGCCGACGTAGGTCAGGAGCCACATGAGGACTGCAAACTGGGGAAGGAAAGGCCCGTCAGCCCCTGACGCCGGACCGCACAGTAAGCCCCTCACCTCCTGGACTTTTTCTTAGTTAGAATTGAGGCAAAATCCATCATGATTTCAATAGGAAATGAAATGAATGTAAAGCCCATCACAAAATCACTGAAGAGGATCCAGATTTTAGTTCCCTTAGAACCCTTTGGAGCATTCTACCATAAGATTTGAAATAATAGTGTAAGCCAGGGGTCAGCAAACTATGGCCTTTAACCTGTTTGGGCCCACGAGTTCGGAATAGTTTTTATATTTTTAAATGGTCAAATAAAATCAAAACAAGAGTAATATTTTGTGATATGTAGGAGGGTCTGAAATCCAATTTCCAGTGCTCACCAATAACTTGACTGTCACATTGCACTCAGTGTCTTGGTTGTCTCTAGCTGCTTTGTGCTCCAGTGGCAAATTAGAGCAGGTGTAGCAGACCCCGTGGCTCGTAAAGCTGAAAATACTATCTGGCTCTTCACAGATGAGGTTTGCCCACTTATGTTTTAACCCACAGTTTTTATATTCCAAATACAAACATTACTTTCGAGGCACCAAGGTAACGTTATCTCCCCGGGAACTCCCTTTAGCCATCACACAGCAAGTCATCATTGCAGCAAAGCATTCTGGTAGGCAAGACCCCGCCTCTCACTTTTCAGTAAGATCTTACTCACTTTTGAGTAAGATCCCTGCCTGGACATGCTCTGGGAGGTCATAAAACTCACAAGAACCTGGCCCAGACTCCCCTGACTCTGTTTATGGCCTCCCTGAATTAGGATTCAGTGATCTGACATGTAAGTTACAGAGAGGCCAAAGCAGCTTTTCTTTCCAAAGACACCCAGAGAATTCAGTGACAGTGCCAGGAATAGAAGCTAGGCATCCAGAGCTGGGCACACCATGGCCCTTCAGATGGCAAGGACACCAGGAGGTCTCACGAGGCAGCACCCACAGCTCCTTCCCATGAAGAAGCATAGATGTTTTTCACATTCTCTACACTCAATTTTTATTTTAAAACTAATTTTAGGATACTGGCTGAGGAACTGAAAATGGTTAACGAGAGAAAATCTGGCATGTTGTAAAAGTATAGAGAACCAGAAGCTCTGTGAGCTGGGTTTGATCCGCTGCCAGTGACTCACTGGGCAACCTTAGACAAGTGACTTAACTTCTCTGAGCCACTGCTGCAGTTTCTGTAGAATGAAGGGATTAGACTGGACGAGCTCCATGCTTCTATTCTAGGCATTCTCTAGAATATAATTGGCATTTGCTTTTACTCTCCACAATGAGATGGTTTATAACATTATACCCTCAGGGAAAACAAAACTCAGGGCAGTAAAGTGAGCAACTAGAGCACCGTACTTTTAAGGAGTCCACCAGGTCCTGGACCAGGAAGAGCCTCCGCAGCTCTTTGAGAGCGCTGTTCACGTAGAGCTGCAGGCAGTCCGTGTACCGCTGGACCTGGTCCTGGGACAGGGCGATCTCGAGCTCCAGGTAGGCCCTGCCAACAAACAGTCCCAATACAGTGTCTATCAGAGTGATCACAAAGACAGGCCACTCACCCCCGTGATAGCTAAGCATCCTTTCACAGCTAAGCATCCTTTCTCTTTGACGACGAGGCCGGGGCCATCTCTGGGGATTCTGCTGGCCCGTGGGCCACACAAGAGCACACACATCCCTGCTTCCCCAGTGCACTAGGGAATGTGGGAATAATGCTTCTTAGTGAGGTCTGCTGTCTACCAAAGACACAGCTTATAGGGTGAGCTGGGAATTCAGAGACACCAACTGGGACCAGAGAAAAATCAATGCAGAAATCAGTTCATTTGCTGAAGTCCCCATACAGGACTCCTGCAGGTGGATTATCTGTTTTAAATGGTTGAGATATTTAAAAATCCTAGCTACCAATTATTGTTTCTCATCCCAACTCTAAACATTAATGTTTAAATTCTGAAATTTACTTTCAGATTTATGCATAGAACACTGAAGATGCAAGTGAGTGGCACCGTATCAAAACCCTCACTGGCTCTATTGCATGGTATTTTTAGCAATCATGTTTTCATGTATTAAAATGGTTAAATTTAATGTTTGGATAGGTAAATTATATAATATGCAATGTATTTGCATAAGAATACAAATATATAAAATACAAATACACATGTAAGTATCGACCCAGCTTACGCTTCCTCCCACTTGGCCATGCCCCCAAACAGCCCCCCCTTCTTCCTCAGTCCCCTCTTCCTCCCACTCCTGCTGTTAGACAGCACCGTTATCTACCTAGAGGACCCCTCAGAGTCTGTGAAGTGCTTACTTAATTCTGGGAATTGGGATGAGAGAGTAGAGCCCATTCGCTTGACTTGACTTCAGTTCTAGGGAGTGAAAAGGACTAAACGTTTGTGTCCCCCAGAAGTTACATGTTGAAATCCTGATCCTCAAGATGATGGTGAGAAAGTAGGGATTTTGGGCAGTGCCTGTGGCTCAAAGGAGTAGGGCACCAACCCCATATTCTGGAGGTGGTGGGTTCAAACCTGGACCCTGCCAAAAACTGAAAAAAAAAGAAAGTGGGGCTTTTGAGGGCAGAACCTTCATGAATGGGACTGATGCCCTCACAAACGAGGCCTGCGGGAGCCTCTGCATTCCTCCCTGCAGCAAGAAGCCAGTGGTCTGCACCCAGGAGACCCTCGCCAGGACCTGCCCATGCTGGCCCTTCACTTGGGACTTCCCAGCCTCTAGAACTGTGGGGATTAAGTTTCTGTTGTTTAAAAGCTGCTCAATCTATGCTATTTTGTCATAGCAGCTGGCAGTGCTAACACCTCTCTCTGCCACATTTCATATGCCCTCTCAGTTAGTAGACTGCCCTTTTATTTTCACATCTCCTCCTCTGTACTGTACATTGATAAGACTGTTCATGAATGAACCCTGTGCCCCTCCAGAAGGCTGGCCTTTTGCTGTTAAATTTCCAGAGAAAGCATAGAGGTAAAAATCCCAGCACCCTAGTCCTGGCTCTGTGATGTTTATTGGCTCATGATCTTGGGCATGCTGTTACTTCTGGGAGCCTCAGTTTTCTCATCTGTAAAAGTTTCCTGTCCAGCCTTACTCATAAAGTTGGGAGTATTTGGTAAGGAGTGTTAAAACACTCATTAAATTATAAAGTATTATTTACCTATAAAAGATTGTGATTGCCATTAGTAGTAATTAAATTATAAAAACTCAGTAAAACAGTAAATGTTAGAGTAAGGATAACTGAATTTGTTCAGACATTCACTGAACATGTTAGATACTCAAAAGCAGGGTGTTGGGGGGAGACTGTGGTCTCAGAGAGACAGGACCAGGCATTGGGGCTGAAATGGAGGCTGCGGGGGGAGCCAGGGAAGGGCCACATGGGGCTGGCGGTGCACTCACTTGAAAGGATGGCCCTCGTCAGTTTTCTGCACAGCTTGTAGAACAGACTTGTAGATGCGGAAGCTGATGGTGGCTGAGAGGGCAGCCAGGGCCAGGTAGGCCACGACGCTCACCACGCTGAACTGTGTCAGCGAGAAGAGTAGCAGCAGGAAGCTCCCGAACACAATGCCCGTCTGCTTGATGTCCCGCCAGTACAGCAGGTCAATAGCTGTGGGGAGGGACAAAGCATCGCTGAAGTCCGGCACCCACGAGCGAGCTGCCCCCATCTCACCTCCAAATGTGAGGCATTTGGAGTCCTCATGCCAGAGAGCAGGCATGTGCTAGGGAGAGGGCACATCCTGTCACCCCACTGCAGCTTGGAAGGAGCTTTTCTGTCCTGAGGACAGTTCACATTCCCAGAAAACACTGTTGAGTCTCTGGAGACCACATCTCTGTGGGTGACACTGGCTACAGAGTGGCATGAATTATGTGACTTTGGAAAAACTTGAAAATACAAAGTATTTGTTCCCTTTTGGTTGGCACTAAGCATGCATCCCCACGCCCTGCCGACAACTTTATGTCTCAGTGGTGGCCTACAGGTATATAGGGCGGTCCTCCCATGCTCCCACAGCTGGGGGAGAGTAGTAACGGTGAGAACAGATGTGTCAGAGAGTGTCATACCTGAAGGCATAAAGGAAGACCTGGGAGACCCACCCCGACAAAGATCCAGCCTGACTCCAAAATGAGAGCAGAGCCCAGGGGCCAGTGGCTGAGTCAGGAAAGCCACAGGTTGTAGTAAACCATTTTGCACAGTGGGCTCTGTTTGCTTACAGCCTGCAATTTAACATCCTGAAATGCAAGCCTTAAAATCTCCACCCCATCTTTCACCATTCAGTTATTTCTCTCTTTCAACTTACAAACAAACATATACAATCCTTTTCAGGGGAAGAAGAGGAATCTTCTGAAGGTCATGACCTGCAGTGACCCTGAGGGCACTAGTCAGAAGTGGGAGAAGAAGGGTCACCAAAAAGGCCCCGCTCCTCCTGGAGCTGAGGGGATTGGAGACAACAAATCAGGTTCCTGGTGGCCTCATCCAGGGCCGTGTGGCTAAAGGTCTTTGGGACCGTCAGTTGTTATTCTTTTTGTGCAGGGAGGGCTACCGGAGAATCAAAAGGCGATGGAGACATGAGCATTATCTGAAGTGTTACCTCTTCCCCTTTGGTCATTTACTGAGCAAGAAGTAAGTGCCAGGCTTTGTGCTAGATGGCAAGAATATACAAATAAACAAATTGTAATAAACATACTCACAAGATTAAAAGAATGAGAAATAACTTGTAATCTGTGTTATGAAGTCCACAGACTCACCTGGCAGACACATTTGTAAACAAACACATTATTATGGGACAGTGTGATTTGTCCTAAAGGGGATTCCTTAGTGCTAGGGAGGGCAGTGCACTCACCTGGGGACATGAAGGGGCACAGTGGGATCCACAAGCAGTTTTCAGACACAGCAGAGATAGCATTGCCTATTTTCAAGTGAATCTCCCCTAAGTAAAATGCTTTATGCCTGTTAAAAATGGTATGCCCAGGCCAGGGGTGGTGGCTAACAGGTATAATCCCAGCACACTGGGAGGCCGAGGTGGGTGGATTGCCAGAGCTGAGGAGTTCAAGACCAGCCTAAGGAAGGGTGAGACCCTGTCTTTAAAAATAGTGTTGTAGTGGGTGCCTGTAGTCCCAGCTACTTGGGAGGCTGAGGCAAGAGGATTGCTTGAGCCCAAGACCTTAAATTACTGTGAGCTATGATAACATATCACTCTACAGAAAGCAACAAAATGAGACGCTGAAGAAAAAGAAAAAGAAATAAAAGATATGCCCTGTAGAAAAGCTATCCAAATCTTGGCTGCCAAGATACCTGTTCCAAAAGCCTATGAATGGTACGGACCAGGTTCCAGCTTCCTTGAAGAAACTGTGGGCAGAAAGTATTAGTAACAAGAGCCTGGTGTTGAGTCACCCCCAAGCAGGACTTTCAATCAACTCGCCAAGATTGCAGGAGGTTTCTAATTAAGAGGCTAAAAAAAGAATTGCTATCTTAAACAAATTGGCTATTGATTCTGGGTACTTTATGACAAGATTATAAATTTACATAGATTCTGAAATGCCCAAAGCATTTTCATATAGTATCTCATTTAAACCTCACACTAAGCTCCGTTAGATAGGCTTATAACAGGTGAAGAAGTGAAAAGTTAGAGAACTTGTATCTTGACTACTTAGTAGGAAAAACAAAATCAAATTCTAAAATTTGATTCTTTTTACCAAACACAATAGTTGCTGCCTTATATTACATGCTCAATATCCTTGGGAGTTATGGAAAATTAATTGGAGGCAACCTGATTATATTTGAAACTGCTTTCGGAACTAGATGTTTAAAGGGAAATTTTTCAAGTGAAAAGTCATTATCAATAGTGAACAGTTATTGATCTATTATCTACTCAGTGCAGGAATGAAGAAATCATAAGATTTTGTTTCTGCTTTTAAGGAATTAAAAGTCTGGCTGCAAAGATTGGACCTTCAACTTAAACAAATGCTGAATCAATATATCTTGTATTGTAGGTGGGAAAAGCTGAGTTTGAGGAAGGCCTAGTGCTGGAATTGATGTAGAGAGAGGACCTGGATGGCTTGTGAATGTGGTGAGCTAAGTGCCAAGGAAATGGGATGGGGTGGGTAAGAGGAAGGATTTACTATAAGGGATTAGTTGACAAGAATGGTGATTAATTAGCTGTGGGAGAAAGAGGCAGGCAGGGCTAATTAAGGGTGGAAACCACATTTCAAAGCTGGCTGATTGAGTATCACTGACAAAAGCAGAAAATCTGAGGGTGAACTGGTTTGGGGAAAAGCAGACACCTGTTTTCAAACCTCCAGATTCTGACATGATGATGCTGAAGCAGGACATTTTGACACAGCCTGGGACTGAGATGGGGTAAGGACCGCAGATGAGATGTGGCTGACAATTATATACAATACTTACTAATTTTTTTAAAAGCCTGGAAGTTAAATGATTTATTTTTAGGCTTTGTCATAGTTAAAATGGTCCTTAATACAACGTGTCCAATGATCGTCAGATGAGCAGGCAGTTGGAAACGCAGGGATGGCAGCAGACTTAGGCTTGGGCGTCTTCTGAGTAGAAATGATGACTGAAGCCTGAGGGTGGATAAAAACTCAAAGGGAGGCTACAGGATGCAGCTTAGGATGAGACCACAGCTGGAGAAGGAAAGGAATAGCCAGGCTTTAGAAAAGACTGTCCTGAGTCTTTTCTGAGAGTGTCACAATATGTAGGTTACAGCTGCCAAGGAGAAGGAAACTGCCCAGAAGAAGGGGCAAGCTGGAGGGAGGGGTGCTGTGGAGGCAGCAGGGAAGAACTAAGAAAGGGCCGCTGGGCCTGAGGCTGGAAGTCACCGTAAAGTTGGAGAGAGCAGTGTTAGGAGCAGAGGGGAAGGAATCCCTAGTGCGAGGGGCTGGCAGGGGGGCCGTGGCGGCAAGTCAAAATAATGAAGAAGGTGGTAGCCTGGGGGGAAGCAGCAGCAAGTGAACCTCTAGGCTGGGCAAAGCCTGGGAATGTCAGTGGGAAGGGAGGGTGAAGATTCTGGAAAGTGGAGATACTGGATTAAGCAAAGTCTCAGCAAAGCCAGAGTGGGGGAAGTGGGATTAGCCAAAGGTCTTTCTTTCCAAAGAAAGGAGAGACATTTTGGGAAGTTGTGAGGGTGGCTGTATATATGTTGAGGTGGAAGCATAGAGCGACCTGAGGGAAATTAACTTGAATTTTCCCTGGAAAATACGTCATGAGGTCTTCCGGAGACGGAGGAGGTTAGAGGTAGGACTTGAAGTGACAAGGGAACATTAAGGCCTTGTTGTCCAAGACAGTAGTGAGGAACCACGTACGGCCACGGAGCTCCTGAAATGTGGCCAGTGCCACACGAGGTGTCTGCACGTGCAAACAACATACTGGACCTCAGATGCCATACAGAAAAGGATGCAAACTATCTCATTAGTGTTTCTTATACTTATTTTATGTCAAAAGTCTAATACATTTAGATATCTTGGATGAAGTAAAATATATAATCAAAGTTAATTATACTTGTTTCAGGTTACTTTTTAATGTGGCTACTAGAAAGTTCCAGGTTATTAAATAATATCTATGTGTTTCACGTTGTATTTCTACTGGACAGCACTAGTCTTAAAAAATCCAATAAAGATTCCAGAAGGAATCAGAGGACTGATAAAAGGTAAGGAGAGTCTGAGTTTCTAGTGGACATAGTCCTTGGGGTAGATGCTGGGTGTTCTCATCACTCGCAGGTGACCCAGGGCTGTGAACTGGCGCAAGGAGCATGGTTAGAGGCTTCGAAGAACCAAGAGGACAGAATTAAAATGAACAATCCTGGGGCTTAGGCTGGGAATGACGACCAGACAGTGGGGGACTGGCAGGCTGGGAAGATGGCAATGGCCACGTGTGGTCACACTGCTAGCACAACCCGAAGTTCTGATGATTCAGAGGGAAGGGTAGGAGGTGACGAAGTTGGGGTTAGACAAGAAAACTTCTGTGTTCCAAATGTACTGTGCAAATGCCAATGTTTCACATTTTATTTTTTCTTAGAATGATGTGAACTTGTGTAGGAAGCTTTATAGCACCAGATCCAGAAAGGCAGGTATTTGAATAAAGTTTCTTTAGAACCCAAGCAAGAAAAATATAAGTAACTCTGTAACTGGAACAAATTACCCTAGGTGGCCCCTTTGGGTATGATAAAATGTAAATAATTATTCTCTTTTAATATGCTTTTAATGCAGAAAAGCAGGAGAGAGTTTACACATTTGAGTGTGTATCACTAAGCATATAAACTAGGACAGGTACAGGACTATATGGTTTTGCCAATTATAAAATTAAAGTGACTTTGCTAAAACATTTGGGAAGAACACATTGGCTTTGAAATGAGAGATCAGTGCATTTTACCAATCTGGTAAGTGGACTGAACTTGGTGATTTAATCTTAGTCCCTGAACCACAAGTACAGAAGCACAGGTGGCAGCCTGCTGGGAAGTGTCTCAGCACAAACTCAGTCCCAGATGAATGAGCAGATTTGAAGAATCCTAATACCAAATGTTGAAACCAGTACTCCCCTCATTTTCAGGATCCAGTTATTAATAGAAAAGAAAAATAAAAGAATGATCCAATGTTTGA